GGGCATGGGGTCAGGCAGCCTCTGATGTCCCTGTCCCGGGTGTCACACAGCCTATGGATGCGGCCAGCCGGCCGTGCCCCCACAGCTGAGCTCCCGCGTGGTGGGCGGTGAGGACGCCGTAGCCCACAGCTGGCCCTGGCAGGTAAGGGGGGCACAGGGATGGGGGTGGGAGACAGGGCTGGGGACATTCCTGCTCTGACCCTGTGCCTCTGCCATGGCAGATCTCGCTGCAGTACAGCCGCTCTGGGTCTTGGCACCACACCTGTGGCGGGACCCTCATTGCCCCCCAGTGGGTGCTGACGGCTGCCCACTGCATCAGGTGGGTGCTGGAATGCTGGGGAGGTGCTCCCCCGTGGGGTGGGATGTTTGTGGGGACTGACACCCCTGTTTTTTCCTCCCTGGCAGCTCTTCCATGACGTACCGTGTGCTGCTGGGCAAGCAGGACCTGTTGACGGATGATGAGCCGGGTGCCGTGGCCGTGGGCGTGGAGAAGACGATCGTCCATGAGAAGTGGAACTCCTTCCTCGTCATGTAGGGGATGGGATGTGTCAGGGGTGGGTCAGGGAGGCATCAAAACAGAGGAGCTCTGTCCTCACATTTCATGCCTCCCCACAGCAATGACATCGCCCTGATCAAGCTGGAAGAGGCAGTCCAGGAGAGCGATACCATCCGGGCCGCCTGCCTGCCTGACGCTGAGAAGATCCTGCCCAACAACTACCCCTGCTACGTCACCGGCTGGGGACGCCTCAGGAGTAAGCAGGGGGGTCCCCAGGGGGTTCCCAGTGAGGGGGTGTGGGTGCAGAGTGTGAGGTGTGCCTGTTGTTGCAGCCAACGGGCCCCTGGCCGATGTCCTGCAGCAGGCCCTGCTGCCCGTGGTGGACCACGAGACCTGCTCGAAGTGGGACTGGTGGGGCAGCCTCGTGCGCACCACCATGGTGTGCGCCGGCGGTGACGGCGTCGTCTCTGGCTGCAACGTGAGTGCCGGGGGGTTCCTGCCCCCAGCACAGGGGGATGGGTGGGTTGGCAGGGGTGCCAGAGCGGTGTGGGTCCCATGGGAAGCACAGGAGGGGAGGGGATGGAGCCGTGGGAGGGGGAGGCTGGGAGGGATGCGGGGGGGGCATCAATGGGGAGCCCAGGAGCAGTGGGTATGGAGCACGGATCTCTCTCTCCCTGCAGGGTGATTCCGGTGGCCCCCTGAACTGCCAGCGCGAGGACGGGATCTGGGAGGTGGAAGGGATCGTCAGCTTCGGCTCCGGGCTGAGCTGCAACATGATCAGGAAGCCAACGGTGTTCACCCGTGTGTCTGCCTACATCGACTGGATCAACGAGGTGGGTGCCCCTTCCTCTGCCCCCGCACAGGGGGTGGCCACACCACCCCTGCCCCGCCGAGGGTCTCACCGTGAGCCCCCCTGTGTCTTGTCTTTGGCAGAAAATGAGCTCCAACTGAGGACTCGGCACGTGGAGATACGAGTGTTGAGTGTGATAAAAGGCAAAAGTGCTGAGCCGGTCTCGTGTCTTTCTTTGGAGGGGTTGTGGTGAAACTGAAACTCGGGGCTGTGTCTTGTGGTCCTGGGGAGCCTGAGATGGGCAGACATTCCACAAAGTGCTCAGGTGGGGGCAGAGCCATGGCCACTGTCAAGCCCAAGGGCTCGAGGCTTGGCTGGTGGTTTAATGGGAGAGGGGCTGGAGTCTGGCTGGAGGGTCCTGGGGGGTCATAGTGGGGCAGATCTCTGCAATCCAGGATGCTGCAATCCAGGGGTACCTAAAAAGAGAGCTTCACTTAGCCCTGCAGTGCAGGCAATGGGCAGTGGCAGTTCCCAGCCAAGTTTTCTGGCTTCACCACAAGGATTTGAGATCAGAAAAGATCAGAATAGAAAGCAGATCCTCTCTGTCTCACTCTGGCCATGGTCTTTCAAACCCCAGCATTGCTGTAATTGGCTCAACCTGAGTTTCTTCCCAATTCCCCTCACTTGGGGCAGGCAGTTCCCTCACTGTCCTGCACCCTGCCCTCTGTTCCCAACTCCCAGCCATCCCTTCACCCAAATCCAAAACCCCAGGCTGGGAATCACTCTGCTTGCAGCACAAAACTTCCTCAAAGCACTGGAAATGCTCCCAAAAGAAGGAGCATGGAAATACCTACTGATTGCTCCTCAGCAGCACAGACTTCCCCTAAGACTGTTGCACCTCCCAAGGACTGCTCTGAGGATGCTCTCTCCCCAAAATCCCACACACATCCAGGGTTTCTGACCTGAAATGGTCACTGCAGCAGCTCCTGAGGGCAAGTATTTACCTCAGCTCTGATATTCCAAAGAACCCTCATCACTTTCCTGCTGTTTAACACCCAACTGATTCCTTTAAAGGAGCAGGATGGCACAGCCACACTAGAAACTCTCCCAGAAACAGCAGGGGTTAAAAATTTACATGAGCTGAGGTCTTCCTGCTCTTCCCATTTCAGAGGACCCTTCAGAAAGTGTTAAAATGGCAATCAGGAGGTGGAACAGAGGAGGGAATACAGGAAAGTATTTATTTTTCATTGCATTTATTAGAAACACTGATGGCAAAACTCATTCCATTACACCTGAGGGCCAAACTTGATCCCATCACCCAGTTACCTGGGCAGCACAGGACACAAATATCAGGATCAGCAAGGAAAAACACTCTGAGGCTGAGTGTGGCCACGTGAAGAGCCCAAGGTGCTCTCCTCTGGCTCCGGAGGTTCCAGGACAACACGTACCCCAGAAAAGGGGCTTCCTGCTCCAATCCCCAGCATTTCCCATGGGCACAGCACCATCTCCACCTCATCTCAGCTTCACAGCAAGGACAGTGTTCGCAGATCACATTTCTCCAGACAAACACCTCGACAGACGGACAAAATCCACGGGAGCGTCGACGCCGAGTGGTGGCAGGCACTGATTTCACCCGGCCACAGGCAAGGAACTCTCACACTTGGCAGGGACCTTGGAGCCCACTCGTCAGTCACACACAAAGTAGAACTTTTTACGGAGGAAGTTGAAACATCCTGGAATCTGCTTGTAGCTCCCCTTGGCTGAGACAGCGTTTGCCACCTGAGAACAGATGGAGAGTGGCTGGGGAGCAGATGCTCTCCTGACTGCTGCAGGAAGCTTGGGAACAGGGGTCAGGAATGGGACTATGGACATAAGAGCTGGCAGGGCTCTTAATATGAGACATTTTCACTGGCAAAGGCAAAGTGAACTCAGGGGAACACACTTTCAAGAAACCTCAGCCATACCACCCACCCCTGCCTCTGGCAGGTGCTTCTTGGCACAAGCCAGAACTCCCTCCTTCCCTTTGGGATTTCATCTAAAAGCAAATTCCCTTTACACAGCACATAAGTCCCATCAGCTTGGACTTTTGAGGATGGGACAAGCTACACCATTTTAAGCAACTTCCTTGGGAAAGATTAAAGCCTGTATTGCCGGGATCACTCCTCGCCGGAGAAACCTCGCGGTGATTTTTGGCAGATCGAGGCCAGACACTTTCTTCGCAACTAAATCTCTCTGCAGTACCTCCAATTAGCCCATCCCTAAAGTCATCACTCAATATCCTCGTTCCTTTTTTAATTGTAGGCCTCCACACCCTCACTAATCACATTCTTGACTATTTCCTTCACCACAACCACAAAAAGGAAGGGTAAAAAAAAACACTTACCCGCAGTAACATGTTGAGCAGGTCTTCTGAACGGGCATATCTCTCCAGCACGCTGTCCAGTGTTTCAACGTACCACGAGCCAGTCGCCTCCCTCCAGGAGACAAAACCTTCAGAGGAAGAAGGAGAATGTTATGCCAAAGCCCATCTGCTGTTCTCATCCTGCTGAGTTCCTGCCACCCCAAAGGAGCCGTTGCCCTGAACTGCCGCTGAACTTTGGCCATGAAGCTCCAATTTTTTGCTAATTCCCCTTGTGCCCAGCACAGTACTGTCACCTGGAAAAGTCGAGTAGGAGACCAGGATGTCGCTGGGTGTGGGCAAACAGGCAATGGCATCTGGCTCATCCACGTTACCCGATGGAGCCTGAAAAGGAGTCGCGTCCGATTCCAAAGAAGCTCCAGGAGCTTCATCTTTGGGTGAATCGCAATCCACTATGAAGCCTCGATCCTTTTGTTCTGCAAAAAGCAGCAATGAGACAGCTCCTGATGTTCACCCCACCCAAGGGATCCAACACTGTACATCCAACGTTAAGAAAAGACGGGGAAAGAAAAGGACAAAGGCCCTGGAACAAAACAAGGCTTTTTGGCCCTTCGGCTGCACCGGTCGAGCTGCAACCATTGGTGTTTCATACAAAACTCCTCACTTTCTGTTTCCACGCCAACCTTATGGCCGAAGAGCTGGAGCAGCCACTCAGTATATGGTAAAAGAAGAGCCAGCTGGAGTGAGAAGACAGCTGGAGAGAGAGACAGGCGACCAACAGAAAGGGAACCAAAGCCACAGCCTAACCACATCTCCCAAGTCCAATGCTACCGGAGCCAAGACAAAGATTCACCTCCACCACAGGCCTGGATGAAGAAGAGTTTGGGCTTTCCTCTCAAACTTGGGCAATTGGACCCATTGAAATAGTTCACAATCTTTTCTATGGGAATGGGTTTTCCATCCGTTCCGTAAACGCCTCCGGGAAACTGAATATGGCTCGTCTGCAAGAGGAAAATGCAGCAGCTTGTGACGGGGATGGAGGGCTGGTGATGAGGGAGCCCATGTCCCATCGGGTGTTTTGTGGCCAAAAGGTACCACAACAAATCCTGGTGGTTGTGGAAAATCCCTCTGGCCAAGTCAGGGTGAGGGGACACCCAGAAGTCATTTGAAACACGCCAAAATCCAGCAATCCAACTTCTATTATCCAACTCCTATCCCATCTCCTCCAGCAACTGAGTTCTTCATCCTCTGGGACCACAGGTGTGTACCATACACCATTTTCTTGCCAAACAGAAACACTTGTCCACGGGCAACACTGGGTCAGAGAAGCTCCCATTTTCTTTAAACCCAGATACAAGGGTTGAAATGACAGACCACTTCTTCCCCCCTGCCCTGCATGAGACCTTCCTTCCACGCCCAAGGAACCAAGGGGGAGATGGGATGAACCCACCTGACAGCCATGGGAAAGGATGACCACGATGCAGCAGTCCAAGGCGCTGTGGTCCCGCCGCGCCAGCTTCTGCAGCTCCAAAACCATTTCCTACGTGGCAAACATCACAATAAAGAGTTTTTTGAGCCATATCACAAATTACTGCTGGGCCCTGCTCTAACTGGGCAATGGGAGGACCTGGAAGAACTGGGTAAGGTGAGTCCCAAGGACAACTGGCAAAAGCCACCACAGCAGAGAGCACGTATTTCTATGTGTCTGCCTTTACTTAACATTGGATGCTTTAATCACATGAATTTCTCACCTCTCAGCACTATTTGCAACACAGCAACATAAACCAAAACACACTTCCACATGATTTATCCACTGAAATCTGCTGCTTCTGAGCAGGAGTAGGGGGTGAGCAGAGAACCACATTTTACTTCCAGAGGCCACTGCGGACAATCAAGCTCCCCCCTCGCCACCTCAAACAAAAACTGAGGGCTGCACAGACAGACACATCACACAGCCCCAAGGCTGTCCCAGCTATCCCCGAAACACAGCCTCACCTATTTCCCTACCAATCAACAATCAGGCAGAAGGCTGAAAACACACAAGGTCTTCTTTCCTTCCGCAATCACAGCACGACAGTAAAATAAGAGGATGCGAGTGGTTGTTTGTGCGTCCCGTGCTGTTGGAGTGGGGGAACATTCCCTACCCTGTTCCCATCGCTTCCAGGGGCTCACCCCTCACCCCTTGTGGCAGCAGGACGCAGCCAACCTCACCTGAGCTTTCAGGTCCCGCCGGGTCAGGACGTCGAAGCGCAAGGCCCTGAAGCGCCGCTCCAGCTTCTCACAGTCGCGGTCGGAGCCAACGCGGGTCGACAGATGGGAGTCTCTGGAGAAGGTGACGTTGTTGAGGATCAGGCAGTGCCCGCAGGGATCTGCTTTCAGCTCATAAACCTGGCAGGGGACACGTCACAGTTAGACTCTTCTTTTTTCCGAGCGCTTGCTCAGGTAACACCAAGTGAGAAGCGGCTCTTCCAGGGATGTTTTCTGGAGCCACCCGTGAGGCACACAGACTTTGGCCAACAGGGAACACTTCCAGCCTACCCAAATACTAACCAGATCATGGCTCTTCTTGTCAACAGCAGAACCTACAACACACAACAGACGTTGGGATTTAGTTCACCACAAGGCAATGCACTCCTAGACTTCACATCAATCTTTCCTGACACAGTTCCCCCTTCCCACCCTGCTGGAAACGAGCCTTTGGCATGCTATCTCTCTGGAAGAGCCTGGGATGCAGCTTACCCTGGGCTGGCACAGGTGTTCGAGGTTTTTCGCTCTCAGCTTGGACTGGGAAGGACAAACGCTCGGGAAGGGTCACAGCTGTAATGACATGGGACAAAAATAAACACAGGGGGTGGTCCTAACATAAAAGCTTCCACTGCTGGAAAGTGGCACATACAGGCTGCCCAGAGAAGCTGTGGCTGCCCTATCCCTGGAAGTGTTCAGGGCCAGGTTGGATGGGGCTTGGAGCAACCTGGGCTAGTGGAAGGTGTCCCTGCCCATGGCACAGGGTGGAAGAAGATGAGCTTTTAAGGTCCCTTGCCACCCAAACCATTCTGGGATTTGATGATTCTCCCAACAGCTCTACATGGTCGCCTCTATGAGGATAACAAAAATTTGGACTTCACAGACTACTGCCCGCAACAGGATGGATCCCAGATGCCACCCCCCTGCTCCTCTTTGCCAAAAAATACCCCCCACACCCTCGGCACTCACTTTTATGCTGCTTTTCTCCCCGCAGCTCCAGCTCCACGGGCTGCAGGTCCAGCAGCTGCGGCGGTGCCAGCGGGGACTCGCACCCCTGGTCCAGCATGTCCGCGAGGTCACCCTGCCCCGTGTCCCGCAGGATGGACAGGAACACGGGGAAAGCCTGCTTCCCTCGAGTCTCCAGGTCGATGACCAGCTGCCGGGCTTGGTCTCCTCGGCCGCCGGTGCTCTGCAGGGGAGGGAAGGACAGGAAAACACATGGTCAGGCAACACCTGGGCAGCCCTCCCGGCTGGTGCCAGAGAGGAGAAATGTGGGATCTGCACCCAGCACGTGGACACAGGGTGAACAAGAGCAAAACCCAGTGGACACCAGTCACACAGACCCCCAGCAGCCACCCGACACCCATCCCTGACCCCCCTCCACCCACAACGGTCACCATGGGGACACGCAACCCTCGGTGGGGTTTGGAGGCAAAGCGGGGAGGGAGCACTCCCAGCCTGGCCCCAGGGGACAAACAGGCACCTCCAGGCTGTCATGGGTGGGTAGGACAGGGTAAAACACCCCGGGCCTGCCACCTGTCACCGAGAGGGGAAATGGGAATGCCTGAAGCCTGTCACCAGACTGTGATGGGGACTCAAGGAGGAACCCCCATGCCTGGCACCACCTGGGGCTGGGGACAAGAAGGAACAAGGTGTGGGGGGGTTCTCTGCAGGGCTCGGGCTGGGGAGGGACAAGGACCACTCAGCAGGTTTCTCAGCAGAGCGAGGCGACACAGAGCCTTTCACTGGGGCGAAATGACAAAAGGGCCACCCCAGGTCTGTCACCGGCGTTCAGGGCACACGGGAACCACTTCCCACGGCCATCCCCCCTCCCCGCAGGCCCACCTGCAGCTCCTCCAGCATGGTGCGGGTGAAGATGCCTCGCCGCTCCAGCGGCTCCCAGAGCGGCTCCACCCGCAGCGCCGCCACCAGCCGGGCCCGCCCGCGCCGCAGCGCCCGCCGATGCCGCTCCTCCATCCCCGCAGCCGCCGCCCTGCCCCGGAACCGCCTCTGGCTGCCCGGAACAGAATCACACACGAGGAGGAACTTTTTTTTTTTTTTTTTTTTAAATATCTCCAGGGATGGAGACTCCGCGCCCTCTCCGGGCGATCACCGTCACCCGCGCTGTGAACAAGTTCTTCCTCGCGTTCAGGTGGAGCTTCCTGCGCGTCAAGTTTCGGACCGTTTCCCTCTCGTCCCATTGCTGGACCCCCCACCCATCCCCGAGCAGAGGCTGGTCCATCCATCCATCCCCTGCCCCCTCCCTGCAGACGCTGACAGACATCGCTGAGGTGCCCTTTCAGTGTCTCTGGAGGCTGAACAGCCCCTGGCCCCTCAGCCGAATTTCCTGGTCACAGAGATGCTCCAGTCCCCTCATCATCTGCACAGCTTCTGCTGGACCTGCTCCAGGAGCTCCATATCCCTCCTGTCCTGAGGAGCCCAGACCTGGACACAGCATTGCAGATGTGGCTCCCCAGGGCTGAGCAGAGGGGCAGGATCCCCTCCCTGACCTGCTGCCGATGCTCTTCCTAATGCACCCCGGGATCCCCCTGACCTTCATGGCTCCCAGGACACACTGCTGGCTCAAGACAGCTTGTTGTCCACCAGGTCCTTCTCCCAGGTCACTCTCAGCCTGTGCTGGTACTTGGGGCTATTCCTCCCCGGGTACAGGACCCTCCACTTGCCCTTGTCACCTGTCCCAGCTATGCTGCCTCCCATTTTCCTTTGTGAATCTCATCACTGGCAGAGCATGAGACAAGAAAAAAGTCCTTGACTTAGGATAAATACGACTTAGCAAAAAACCAGAGCATCACAGAGCCACAGAATATGCTGACTGAGAAGGGATGCACAAGGATCATCCTGTACCCTCAGGCTGGTACAGGACCATCCCCAGGAGTCACCCCCTGTGCCCCAGAGGATCATCCAAACCCTCCCGGAGCTCTGGCAGCCTTGGGGCTGTGCCCACTGCCCTGGGGAGCCTGTTCAGTGCCAACCACCCCCCGGGGGAAGGAGGAAAAGATCCTGAGATCCAACCTGAGCCTGCCCTGACACAACTCCAGCCATTCCCTGGGTGCTGTCCCTGCTCCCCCCAGAGCAGAGCTCAGTCCTGCCCCTCCTCTACCCCTCCCCAGGAAACTGCAACTGCAGTGAGGTCTCCTCCAGCTCAACGCCCCGACTGCCCCCGGCGCCCTCACCCGGCTTCCCCTCGCCGCCATCCCCACCCCTAACGCAGCACCCATCGCCGGAGCATCCCCGGAGCATCCCCGGAGCATCCCCGGCCGAGGCGGCGCTGCCCGGGCCGCGTCCCCGGAAGCTCCGGCTCTCCACGGGCACGGCGGGCGCGCCGGAAGCGGCGGCGAGAGGAGGGAAGGGCGGCCCGTCCGCTGCCTCCGCCCGCGGGGCCCCGCCGGACATGGAGCGGGCCCGGGCCGCCTGGGTGCTGCTGCTGCTGCTCCTGCTCCTCCTGCTGCCGCCCGCCCTGCCCGCCGCGCCGGGAGAATTCGACCCCTACCGAGTGCTGGGGGTCGGCCGCGGCTCCAGCCAGGCCGACATCAAGAAGGCCTACAAGCGGCTCGCCCGGGAGTGGTACGTGCTGCCCCTTCCTACCCTCGTCCAGCTCTCCCCCCCCCCCGGGGGATGCTCGGCGGGGATGCTGAGCTGCCCCGCCTGGTTGCGCGGCGCGGGTGGAGGTCGGGGAGCAGCGCCGGGGCTCCCTCGCCGCCCTGGAGCCGGGCAGGTGCCCCCTCCCCCGCCAGCGATCGGTGCTGTAAAACCCTCTGGAGGCTGGGTCATGGGGGGAGAAGTTATCCCAGAATCACGCCACAGGAGGGAAAGCTCTTCCAGAGTCCGGCTATAGGGGGCGGGGGGGGGGGGAAGTTCTCCTGGGGTCTGACCACAGAGGGGAAAGTTCTTCCAGGGTATGACTCTGGGGGCAAAATTCTCACAGAGTCTGGCAACAGGGGGGAAAAGTTATCCTAGGGTCTGACTACGGGGGGGGAAAAGTTCTCCCAGAGCCTGGTTAAGTCATCCTGGAGTTTTGACTATGGAAGGGAAAGTTCTTTCAGGGTCTGGCTAGGCGGGGTGGAGAATTCTCCCAGAGTCAGGCTTTGGGGGAAAATATTCTCTTGGAGTCTGGCTATGGGGAGAAAAGTTCTTCCGGAGTCTGGCTATAGGAAAAAATTCTCTCAGAGTCTGGCTATGGGGAGGAAAGTTCTTCTAGAGTCTGGCTACAAGGAGGAAAAGTTCTCCCAGAGTCTGACTATGGGGGGGGGAAATTCTCCTGGAGTCCGGTTGTGGGGATAAAAAGTTCTCCCTTACTCAAAGGGGAACTTTTAATATACTGAGGTTTAAGTCTCAGCTTTGTGTGTCACTGTCCAAGGGCAACCCAATCCCTGTGCTGTGGGAGGGGAAGGCATCAGGTGCACAAATGTCACACCCCTTGCATCCGTGGTGCGTGGTGAGGGGCAGGCTTGAGGCATCGCCTGGGGGAAGAGCCTCACCCAGAGCTGTTGTCTTGCATGAGACATCCCCGAGGGCTGTGGCAGGAGGTGATTTAAGGAAGAACCCCATAGATATGTGGGGCAGCAGCCAAGGGAGAGAGGCGTGCTCCCTTGTCCTGGGCTCTTGGCGATGGATCAGACAGAGGCACAGGTGTACAGGCACACCACACGCATCCCAGTGCTGCGTTTTGGGATGGGGTTTGGATAGGGGCAGCATGTGCTGGGTGTAAATCTGCTCTCAGCCTCGGGGATGCCACTGCACATCGTCGCTGTCCATGTTCTGCTCGCCTCCAAACAGGGGCCGACAGCTCCCTGTGCCCTCCAGGGAACCACTGACCCCTTTTCCTCTGGTTCTGCCTCGTAGGCACCCTGACAAAAACAAGGACCCGGGAGCAGAAGACAAATTCATCCAGATTAGCAAGGCCTATGAGGTAACACGTGCTTCTTATGAACTCCTGCTGTTGTTAGCATTGAGAGACCTTATTTTTCCTGTGCTTCGTCTGTGTATTGCTACATGGTAAAAGTGATTGACCCTGTAGAGGTGGACTCTACCCAGCCAAAAAGGTTGCTCAGCTTTGTTGACAGAGCCACTGGAGTCACCAGCGTGGCCTCTGCTGCAAATATTTTGCTACAGGCCTGCCCTGTTCTGGCTAAAAACCCTCAAAGGAGGGAGGAGAGAGTATTCACTGAGCCCTGCCTGGCTGGGCAGCGTCTTGTCCGTGTCACATGCACATAAAAGCATTTTGGGGTGATGTAAGCAACGTTAATCACCACAGGGCTTTGGTCACCTCAAATTATTCTCAGTAGTAGTTATTTGCACATCGCTGTGGAAATTGGCTGCCCCAGTTTGTGGCAGCCGAGCCCAAGGAACTAAAAGTAAATCCTTATTTCCCTGCCCCCCAAAAAAATGCAGTTTCTCTGTGGGGCTCCTGGCTTCTTGGTGAAGTTTTTGTCACTTTCTGATGTGCCGAGAAAACCATCTGGGTTCAAAGAGACACCAGCAAAAGCTGATCCAGAAAACAGGGAATCCCTGCATGGGATATTCTGTCCCAAGGAGCTGCTGGTGTCAGAAGTGGGTACAATAGTCTGGATTTAGAGGCTCCTTTTCTTTGGGCTTTGGCTTTTTTTTATCCCTGTTTACCACAGTGAGCCTGGAGGGATGAGATAGTTCCCTTTTTCCAGAGCATTTATCCCACAGTCATTTACTGAGGGATTACGGTCAGGGCAGTCTCCCCCTCATGGTTTTTCCATCATCTGCTTCCCAGATTCTCTCCAACGAGGAAAAGAGGGCAAACTTCGATCGCTACGGAGATGCTGGGGAAAGCCAGGGCTTCTCTCAGCACCAGCATCGCCAGTTCCACCGCTTCCACGACGGCTTCTATTTCGACGAGTCCTTCTTCCACTTCCCTTTCAATTCCGAGAGACGCGACACCTCCGACGAGAAGTATTTGCTGCACTTTTCCCACTACATGAACGAAATCGTGCCGGACAGCTTCAAGAAACCTTACCTCATCAAAATCACCTCGGACTGGTGCTTCAGCTGCATCCACATCGAGCCCGTGTGGAAGGAAGTCGCTCAGGAGTTGGAGGCGCTGGGTAAGGATCGGGGTGTGTGTGCATCCAGCATTGGCCTTCAGCTTTGCGGGACTCTGTGTCACCTTTAGGTTTCCTCAGAGATTTATCCTAATGCTTTTCCAAGCATTACTAACGCTGGGGTGCTGGGCAGGGGAGCAGGTCATCAGTTCTCCACAGGGCATTCGGGTTTGCTGGGGATCTTTTTCACCTGAAGCCGCTGCTCTCCTTTTCCAGGAGCGGGAATCGGCGTCGTGCACGCAGGGTACGAGCGGCGCCTCGCCCACCACCTGGGTGCCCACAGCACTCCCACCCTGCTGGGGCTCATCAACGGGAAAATAACCTTCTTCCACAATGCTGTCGTTCGGGAAAACCTGCGGCAGTTCGTGGAGAACCTTCTGCCAGGGAACCTTGTCGAAAAGGTACGTTCCAGCAGGAGTGCCACTCGCTGCTTCTCCTGCCTGCCTGGAGATTTCTCTCTCCTTGGCTGTTTTGGTGGTTAATCTGTTTAATTCGGGCCCTGAGCTGCTCTGTGTCACGAAGCTCCAAACCCTGGAGCTGTCGGAAGTGTTCACACCGTGTGGCTCTGTGACACTTCTCCTTTCTACTACATGGTCACACCATGGGGCTTGGGTGCCAACTGCCCCCCAGCTGTGACACCCCACAGCTACCAGGACCCTACCAAGGTTATCCCTAGGTTAGGAACCTGCTGGATTTCACTTCCCTTCCCCTTTCTCAGTGTTTCATCCAGCAGATTAAAGACCACTCACCCGCTCCTAGGCGGTGTCTCCCAAAACGCACCGACCCGTTGTTTGTTTTGCCCAGTTTTGATTCAGACGTTTGCAAGTGGAGCTGGCAGCTTGAGCCCTTTCAAAGTTTTAAGTAAAACTTCCTAATTGATAAAATATTCCTGCATTTCAGCCTTGCCCAGTGATTTTTGGTGGAGTCTCAAAGCACCCACCGCTCCTTTCAGGGCGATGTGGCCAGGTCAGCCCCCACAGTGCACTCACCTGCCTGTCCCCTCCTTGCAATTTTGTTCACCCCACCTCATTTTCGCTTGGGATCTTCAGCAAGGGCTGCCTTTCCTAACAGAGCTGACTTGCTGTCCTCTGGGTATTGGAGTTCTCACCCCAAAAGTGGTGGAGCGTTGCCTGACGGCTCAGAGGTTAAACTGACGTTCCTGTTCTGTTTAAAGATTACAGATAAAAACTACATCCGCTTTCTGTCTGACTGGAGGAAGGACAACAAGCCCCACGTCCTACTGTTCGATCATATGCCAGTTGTGCCATTATTATACAAGGTAATGTGATTTCTGTCGCTGCGCAGTTGACTTGTTCATGAATCCAGATGTTCCAAAAGAAAACGCACCATTGCTGTGAGCAGAGGTCAGTCAATGCCTCCAGACCACTGGCTGGGTCTGGGAGAGCAGGGTGATTCGTGTTGGTCGGAAATGGCATAAACACACGTTGTGGATTTCTCCCCATCCAGCTGACTGCCTTTGCCTACCGAGACTACCTGTCCTTTGGGTACGTGTACGTCGGGCTCCGAGGCACCGAAGAGTTGTCCAGTCAGTACAACATCAACGTCTACAGTCCCACCATGATGATCTTCAAGGAGCACATCGACCGGCCTGCTGACGTTGTGCAGGTACCTCTCAGAGCCCTCTCCAAGAGCTCGTGGGAAGCAGGTGTGGAGGTTTCCTCACTGAGCTGGCAATGAGAGGTTGGTCGGTGGTGTGTTTTGGAGTAAAGAGTGTTCGTTCTCAGCATAAACTCTGGCTTCAGTAGACAAAGAGAGCAAATGTTTGGAGGGAGGAAGCTTGGCAGGCTCCGGTTTTGGTGTCTTACCTGTTGAGGAGGGTGGACAGAGGTAGCTTCGCAGTCCTGGGGCCTCACAACAGCTCGTGTGATTGCAGCGAGGACCGTGATGGCCAGCAGCCTTCCCCAGCTTGAGACAGGAACACCCAACAGCTTTATTGTCCTCACCTGCTCAGGTCTGACCTCTGCTTTCTTTGTCCTTGCCAGGCACGAGAGATGAAGAAGCAGCTCATTGATGACTTCCTTTCTCAGAATAAGTTCCTCATGGTGGCCAGACTCACCAACCAGAGGCTGTTCCAGGAGCTGTGTCCCGTCAAGAAGTCTCACCGTCAGCGCAAGTAAGTGGCGTGTCCTCCTGATCTGAGGCTCTGGAGCTGCTCCTAAAGCCACCTTTGGTTTGATTCTAAAGGAAAAGAGTGATGACTGCATTGGATCATGCTCAGTATCCACAGTGTCACTGGGATGATTTTGGCTAGCAGAAAGGGGGGGTGGTCATTTCATCTGGTGTCCAGAATGGCTCGTAATCCCCCATCTCGTTGCGTCCCCCAGGCACTGCGTGGTCTTGCTTACTGGGGAAGGAGATAAGTTTGCTGAGGCTTACGAGGCCTTTTTGACTTTTGCTGTGGCCAACACAAAAGACACACTGAAGTTTGTGTACATCTACAGCGAACGGCAGCCGGAGTTTGCAGACGCCTTGCTGATGGATGAGGAGAAGTACCGGGGAAGATCAGCTGTGAGGCTTTCCTTTTGTTTTTAATCCTTACTTCTTTTAGCCTGCCATTTAATTTACATCACGCTGTACCTTGATCTGACACCTAATTCTTTCTGGGCAGTGGTTTCAAACAGAGCATCTGTGTAGAAAAAAAAGCCCCTTCCTCTGTAACATCTGCCGCGTTCTTGGCTCATCCAGGTGGTCATTCTGGAGAGACGCAATAACGCGGGGAAGATCGCCTACAAAGCCTTGGAGGAGGCCTGGCAAGGCAGCAAGGAGGACAACTTCATCCTCCTGGATCTCCTGGACCAGCTGAGGACGGACCCTGGCCTGCTGTCATCAGAGACTGTCGTGGCAGACCTGAATGATGAGCTGGCTCCTGTAAGTCCACGGCCTTTCCAGCTGTCTGATATCCGTGTTATGGATGTGGACAGTCCCATTATGGCTGTTCACAGGCATTATTTATATTTTAAAATACCAAGGCAAGACTCTTATAAGATTTCTTGCTCATGGAAGGAAGCTCTGAAGCTGATTTGGCCCAGGGTTGGGCTCATTTTTACAGGGTGGGAGTCCTGTTGGGGTTGTGCATAGCGGGTTTGTCATTTGTTTTTTGCTTTTCATTCTTTTCAAACAGATGTTCCTTATCCGATGGCTCTACTCCTCGCTGGACTACATCTCAGACTGCTGGGACAGTTTGTTTCACAGTAACTGGTACAGTCTGGGCACCCATTGTGGGTTTTCACTTCTTCCCTGTCACCTTATTTTAAAATAGATCCATTTTTAGCCTCCTCTTTTGGGCGGGAGCAGGGACAGCACTCAAAAACTTGAGACACAAGCTGAGTTTCTGGGGAAAGCACATGTTATTTGAGGTAGACAGGGACTGGAATTCAGGCAGAAAATGTGAACTCACAGGCCAGACTGCTCTTTGCACATCTTCCCCTCAGGCGAGAAATGATGCCGCTGCTGTCCTTGCTCTTCTCCGCGCTCTTCATTCTCTTTGGCACCGTTATTGTTCAGGCTTTCAGGTGAGTGCACACCGAAAGGCCCTCAGGGGTAGCTCCTCAGTCCAACCCAGGGCCTTAAACACACACAAAATCCCCTTCCTCTGCAGTGATTCGAGTGACACGAGGGACTCTCCGCCCTCGGAGAAAGAAGAGACCGCCGCGAAGACAGAGAAGAACGACGTGAGCTTCAGCAAAGAGAGTAACAGGTTCCCTCTAATTTCTCCAGAAGTATTTTCTGTGGAAGCATTGCTCAGGGAGTGTCTGTGCAGGGAGTTAGTGGAGAGCAGAGAAGTGCCAGAGTTGCACAGACATATCGCAGCTGTTGTGCAGAGCAGCACAGGCACAGCCAGGTGGGAGGAGCGGTGTGAGCCAGGACCCAGCCAGCAAGGACAAAGTGATATTAATCTGGTTATTAAACAATTCCCACCTAGTTTGCACTAGACAGGGTGCTTGGGGAAAAGGTAAAGGTCTGACCCACTCGTTGAGGAAGATCCAAACTGGGCTGTTGCACCAATTAAGCTGGCTTTGGGCACAGGGGTGGCTCGGGGACGGGCTGGGGAACATGGTCACAGTTTCTTCATCCTCAGCTGCTCCCACTTCACTCAGTCACTGCTTTGCTGCAGCAGGATTCCCAAAAAGGGCTTTGTTGAGGTGACTGAGCTAACGGACATCAACTACACCAGTAACTTGGTGCGCCTGAGGCCGGGCCACATGAACGTTGTCCTGATCCTGTCCAACTCGACCAAAACACCCCTGCTCCAGAAGTTCGCCCTGGAAGTCTACACATTCACAGGGTAGGCTGGGGCCTCTCCTGGGTTTCTGTTAATTGTGTTAACAACTTGTGTGAGGCAGCTCTGGTGACAACAGGAGGAGCAGGGTCAGCTCCATTGCCAAGAGGAAACATCTCTGTGCTCATCTGTGGCAACGAGCTGCCGAAAAACGAGTGGCCTTTTCTGGCCAAACTTGGTGATGGTGCCCACACGGGTCTGGTGCTGCTGCCACTTTGGTTGTACCCATGTTTCAGCAGAGAGCACGACAGTGCTGCACCCTGGGCAAGTGTCACCTGTGCTGGAAAAGGAGCTGCAGCAACACTGCTCTGCCCTGCCCTTGCTGATAAGTCCTTACCTGTCCATAGCAATCCAGCCTTACTCAGGACACTTGCTAATCCCACTGTCTTCTCTGCTCTTTTCCCAGGAGCAGCTCTCTTCACTTCTCCTTCCTCAGCCTGGACAAGCACCGAGAGTGGCTGGAGTACCTGCTGGAGTTTGCGCAGGACGCGGCCCCCATCCCAAACCAGTACGACAAGCATTTCCTGGAGCGCGACTACACGGGCTACGTGCTGGCTCTGAACGGCCACAAGAAATACTTCTGCCTCTTTAAGCCTCACAGATCAGGGGACGAGGGGGGAACCCCGGGATCGTGCGAGGATTACAATGCCTCGCTACAGGCGGAAGCCAGAGGGAAACCCTCCTGCAGCCCGGGATCTAGATCCATTAAAAACAAATTACACAAATTGTCCTTCTGGATGGAACGCCTCCTAGAGGGTTCCTTACAGAGGTTCTATATCCCCTCGTGGCCCGCGCTAGACTGAGGGATTTTACAGAGATTCTAAGGGACAAACTTTTTATGAAGATGACAAGGGGACAGCTCTTTCCAGGAACACACAAACAAGCGTGATGAATGGACCTTAGGTTTTAGGTGAACCCTCCTGGGGCCGGAGACTAAAACGTATCTCCCCCCATCCGGAGCCCGGGAGCGCAGCCAAGTGCACCCACGTGCCCTCCACCGACCCGCCGTGTGCTCGGACGCCGTCCTACCGAAGAGCCAAGAAGTCTGTTTATTCCCTTCTCGTCCTGCCACATCTGCTTCCCGAGTCGCCCCTGTTCCATCTCTTGTTTTTACCTCGGTCGAAGAAAAAAAAAAACAAAGAAAAAAACACCCCGTGACTTCTCCCGGCCAGGACCAAGCGCAGCCGGTGGCGCAGGGTCGGGTCGCGGTTCTCTCTCTCCCCGTCCCCCTGTGCTTAGCCCACGGTGCAGTGCATGGTGTAACACTGGCAAGACCCTGCAGACCCTCCCAGGCCCTGCCTTTCCAAAAGGCCTCCTCCCACCAGGCAGTTGTACTTCCTCGGCTTTCCCCCGTGGTAAGTGATGTAGAGTCCGGTCAGGAGCATCTCCCTCGTAGCAAACCTGTGTAGCTGGGGCTCACCTTGTGGTGCGGGTTTCGTGGGTGATCTGCATGTTTCATGCTCCTCGTGTCCCAGTTCCCACGTGCAGCTCCACAGGCTGAGCCGTAACCGGGAAGGGAAAGGGTTTTGCACGGCCGTAAATACTGTCAAAGTGTTGAGCCATTTAAATGTCACGTTGATTTTTTCAGATGCCTTTTCTGCTTCTGTCGATTTTAGACGATGTATCCTAGAGCCATAACTTTACCTGCGTCCTCAGATTGTAGGCGTGAGCTGCTATGAGCCAGTAGGTGTGTAAAGAAACCTCTACGTAGCTGCCAGGGAGTCCCTCCCGGGCTCCTTGCAAACACCCTTCCAGCTGTAGTACAAACCAACCTTCCTTTGTATCGAGGAACCTCATCCTTCAACGATTGTATTCTTGCAATGTTGCCCCAGAAGTGCTGTATAATCAGACAGTCACGTGTGTGTGAAGCTCCTTTTGGTTTAGGCGTGAGGTTGAGATGTTGGGTTTCAGCCTCTCACCCCGTTTCCACCTCTTGCCCATTTCCTTCTTGCCCCAAACCTCTATTTTTCCACACTCAGGCTGCTTGCCTTGGCTTTGTGTTTGTTTGCTTGGGTAATTTTTTTTTTTATTTTTTTTTTGTCTTTTGGAAGTTGTAAGTCTGTGTGAGGCTAGAACAGGGTTTGGATGGTGCTTTGCTGTAGCAGTGCCCCCAACAGCCACTTCAACACTGCTGGGAAAGGGTGGCCCCGGGTAAGGTGGAGGGAGGACGAGCAGCAGCCTCGTGGCTGCTTAACCTTCTAGCAATCAAGGGAGGCAGCAGGGCTTCTCTTTGTGGCCAGGACTGAAATCCTGTGAGGCTCGTGCTTCCTTTTCGCTGCTCTGGGGCTGACACTGTCCCCCAGGTCTCCTTCCATAAATCCCGTCACCATCAGGGCTCCAGCACTGCTGGAGTGCAGGGATGGGAGCAGGAGGCCTTTGCCACAGGGCTCTGAACCTGACACAGAGCGCTCAGAGCACAGAATGTCAATTCAAACTCAGCCCTTGCCACCTGAGTGACCATCTTAGCAGAGCAGGCAGTCAGTAGGAATAACTGCCAACCTCTGAGCCAGCTGCTGATCCCATAGGAAGAAGGGGATGCTCAAGTCATTGCACTGCCTACAATGCCCTATTTGCTCCCAAAGCCTTGCCTTGCTGCATTTCCTCCCATCCTGGGAGCAGACTGGTGTGCTCTGAACCCCACAGGTACCTCAGATCCCTGTAAAATGTACTTCAAATAAAGGCTACCAACCAACCCTACGTGAGGGTAATTAATTCCAGCCCAGCAGACTCCGTGCCCCAGAAAGTAGAGGGAAGGAATGAAGGAAGGAAGGAAGGTGAGGTCTCCTCCCTGCCCAGGGGCTCTGAGGCACACACAAACTGCTGAAGGAGAGCAGAGGGGGAACAAAACACCAGCCTGATGCTTCCAGACTTCATATTCACTTGGCTGGAGCAGTTGCTGTCTACTCCTGTGCTTGCCCATGCAGGAGGTGGCTGGAATAGGTTTTAGCCCACTAGAAGGCTCCACATAACTTCTTTAACGTTTGCAAAAGCAAAATATACTCTCTGGGTCTCTGCTGTCTCTTTATCTGGTCAGAAACCAGTAGAAAAGCCTCAACCCATGAAAAAAAAAGTGCCTAGTTGTGCTACAGCAAAGGAATTCAGCCCTGCCCCAAGGAAGGAGAGAAGGCTTTACAGCCTTCAAATTCTGCCAGAGTCCTTGTTTTTATTTTCTTTTTAGCACAGGTAACCTCCCCTTTCAGCCAGAGTTGAGTTGAAGGAGCACTTGCAGCAGCCCACCCTTGCTGGGTTTGGCTGGATGGGAGCACAGCTCCTGGTTTCTGTTTTATGGAAACCCTTTTTTTCCTGGGTTGGAGCAAATGCCAAGCTGCTCCAACCCCTGGTTTAGTAGGTTTTAGTGCCAGTGTGGCGCTCCAGGTGTTTGCTGTCTTGGAGAGCAGGGTCAGAGCTGCTTATCCCGGGATCTGCCCCTACTCTGCCAGCAGCCATGAGCCCTCACCCCCCCATCCTTTCCTAACCCTTGTGATTCTGTTCCATGCGTGGTGGTTCACAATCCAAAGATTGAGGAGATTCAGTCCTAGTGCACTGTCCTAGTGGGATCCAAGCAATGGCACAGTGCTCGAAGCTGAGGCGAAGGGACACAGGCCCCGGAGTGGAGCTTGTTCCCAAACTCCTCCCTGTCCCTGTCTCTGCCCTTCACCCACAGCAACCAGGAGCCAGCACACGAGCGCAGCTTGATAAGTAGGACTGAAAACTAGGTACCTATTTTGCACTTTTGATACTGGGAGGGGGGGGAATTAACTTATTTGGCAAACTTGTCTTTTTTTTTTTTTTTTTCTTTTTGTTTTGTTTTTGGTTTTGTATCTGTGAACAGGCACTGATGTCATTTTGTTTTAAGACTATTACAGGTTCGCAACCAAAATAAACTTATTTTACTGTGTGATGAGGTGGCTTTGTGTTTCCATCTACAAACTAACCTCACCTCCACATCAGCTCAGAAATTCCAGGCGTGATTAAACCACTCCTGCCACAGGAAACTCCTGGTTATTCCATCAGCGGGAACTTCAGTCAAACATCCCCCTACGCTCAGCAGGATCCCCAAATGTCCTTTGCCCCCCTCCTTTCCTCCATAGCCATTGTCTTGCTGGCACATCCTAATGGGAGAAACCCCGGTAAGCTGGGTGAGTAATTCCAGAGACCAAACACTATTAGCCTCATCTGTCCCTTTACCAGTCCAATTTCAAAGCTCCAGACCCCAGGTAAACGGGGTGTTCAAACCCATCTACCCTCTCTACAGCTTCTCAGCCTAAAATTACCTTTACTGGTGGAAAATGGCATTTATTCCGTGCTGCAAAGCCTACATTGGCTGCAGCTGGATGAGGGGAAGGGGACATGGAAAGCCTGGCTGGAGACATGGAGCAGCGTTGTCCTGGAGCAGGCAGGAACTGCCTTCACAGTGTCCTCACTCCTGGGAGAACACACAGCATCTCAAACAGCAGGTTTGCCCCCAGGAGGGCTGTGTTACCTAAAAGACAGAACAAGGGAAAAAAAAAAAAAATCCATGAATATCCAATGGCTTTCACCCCTGGCTGCCTGTGCCAGGCATATGTTTTACTCTCAAGGATCCTTAGACTCACCAGAGACGTCATACATGGGTGCGACTTCCACGAGGTCACACCCCACTATGTTCAGGCCTTTGCAGCCACGAATAATCTCCAAAGCCTAGGAAAAAAATGGATTTGGGATCAAGAAACATCTGACCTGGTGGACCAGTCAGGGCTCTGCTTTCCCCATTTTCATATAGGGAAACCCAACCTCTACAGACCACATTTCCCTTCCTTCATCAACACAAGGAAACGCTCCCAGGCCTTTCTTAGCCTTTGCTTTGCCATGCTGGTGGCACGACCTGGGAGCAAAAACGTGCCTTTCCCAGTGGGAAATGCAGCTGCATTCCCTGGAGTCCCCTCACCTGTGCAGGTGTGAGCCCAGCTATCTCCGGGGTCCCGGTGCCAGGGGCATACGCGGGGTCTAATCCATCGATGTCGAAGCTGATGTACACGGGCCTGTCCCCCATCTGTGCCCTCACCTCCCCCATCAGGGGCTCCAGGGACTTCATCCAGCACTCCTCAGCTGGGACAACCCGGAAACCCTGCAGGGATACAGACACTCGGGAAAATTAACATAAATAAATAGTATTTATAATTATAGCATGAATTATAAATATATGGCATATAAGTGTATATTTAATATACTTACTATATTTCTATATAATCTATTCATTATATTTATGCTGTTATATATTATACAGCATTGTAAATATACAGCCTATAAAATATATAGCTTATCTAAAATTATTATGTATTATATATATTTATTATATCTTATTATATTATTATAACGCATGCGTTTTATTATCATTTATGCCTGCTGAAGGCAAGGAACATTAACGACAGGGGAATATTCACGGCAGGAAGAGCAGGCTGTGGATCCCCTCACCTGCTGCCGGCTGTACTCGTGTGCGTCGGGGTCGTAGGAGGAGCCTCGGATGCCGATCTGCACCACGCGGCTGCAGTCCAGCAGCCCTTCCTCCACGCAGCGCCGGAACGGGGTCCCGTGGTAGATCTTCTCCCCCAGGGCCGTGTCCCCGGTGTCCGTGTGAGCGTCCACGTGCACCAGCCCCACGGGACCGTGTCTGCTCCGGACAGGGTGGACACGCTATAGTCCCCACCCCGTGCACATCGGCCCTGCCCACGGCGGGGACAGCAAACCAGGGGCACTCCCCAGGCGCTTCCCAGGTCTTTATTTTATCATCTCCAGGTTAAAAACTTACTTTGCTGCCAGGGCCTGCAGGATTGGGTAGGTTATGGTGTGATCTCCACCTGCAGCAGGACAGGGAAGAGGGGGTAACACACTGCAAGAGCTGCTCAGCATTCATTACCTTTGTTCCCAGGTATTTTTTTTTCCTTCCTTGCATTTATCCTGCACTTATTTATACACTCCAGAGCTTCGTTCCCGAAGGAATGCCTGAGGCTCCTGAGTGCAGGTTGTTTCCTTTCTCCTCTTTCCTCCTGGGGAGGACCAGAGATGCAGGACTGCCAGCAGGGACAGCCAGTGGAGCAGGACCCTTGACTGGGCTTATGAATAGACACTTGATCCATTTCTGAGGATGCTGAAACTGGTGATTTGCCCCTCATTACTCTACACATTCTCTTCCTTTAGCGATGCCAAGCTGTGACAGCTGCAAACTTGAACATGTGCCCAAAACAGGCCTCATGCAAAGCCAGGCATGCCCACAGCTGGAGGGACACAAGGGACGTGTCCTGGTCTGGTTATGCAGGACACCAAAAACACATCACTGACAGTATTTACAAGACTGACCCATCCTCATCATTTTTGACCTAAAAGAGGCATCAGAGAACAGTCAGTCCAGCAGAGCGCCCGTGCATTTACCCCCATGCAGGGGATGGATGCATCACTCACCCTCTGCTGCATTTGGATTGAACGATGGGAGGGAGAAGGAGGAGTTCAGCTGAGCAGGGACGCAGCGGCAGGACAGGGAGGCACATGGTCCTTACCCAAGGTGAGGGGCACACAGCCAGAGGCCACGATCTCCCGGTAGGCCTCTCGGATGAGGCGGCAGCTGTCGGGCAGGTTGTAGAGGTTCACATTCACGTCCCCGATGTCAGCGACCCGCAGGGAGTCGAAAGGCGCTGCCCCGGTGCTGCCGTTGTACCTCCTCACCATGGCCGACTCCGCGCGGATCTGACGAGGGCCGAACCTGGGGAATGGCACAGCTGGGAAAAGCCGCCGGGCAGAGCTCTCCTCTGTACCAGAGTGAAGCACCAGCTCCCCACGGCTCTCCCTTACCTGGCTCCCGGCCGGTTGGATGTTCCCGTATCCAGCGGGACACCGACAAATGCCGCGTCCAATCCCTGTGCTGACGCCTGCACGGGGAGTCTCATCATGGAGCAGACCCCCACGGGCCGGGCCACGAGCAGGGCGCTGGGGGGCACGTTGAACTGGGAGCCCCAGCGGCAAGGGGCCCTACTCCCCTGGATCAGGGGCTGGAGGAACCCCCTGGACACACTGGAGGGAGTCAGGAGCCACGGGCCGCAGTGCGAGGGAGCCACTGCAGTGGTCACAGCCAGCTTGCGGGTGCAGGGCCCAGCTCGCCAGGGCAGCAGCTGGAAGCAGCCAGCCCAGAGCAGGTGCCTCATCCTGCTCCACAGACTCCCACCCTCTATGCCACAGGGAACACGGCGAGAGGTGCTGTAGAGCCAGTTCCGTCTCCACTCGAGCGCCAGGGGTGGGTAGAGAGCCAGTAGCCTCCGCCAAGCCTCCCTCCAGGGTTCAAAGTGCAGTCAGACACCCCACTGCCCAGGGAAGGGCAGAGACCCCGCCCAGCCACCCCCTTTCCCAATGGCACAGTCCTGGCAAACACCAGGAGCAAACACGGCAGCGAGAGGCTTTGGCTTGAGCGTCTCCACCAAGAGCCTGCGGGGATTATCAGGACAGGGCAGGAGGGGACGCACTGGGAAATGTCACAGTTTGCTCCCCTCGGGCATTCACAGACAGCACGGCGGCATTTGCAGCATTAACAGCTTGTACTTTTAACCTGCACCTCACAAAAGCACCCAGAATGCTGAAGAATCATAAAAACGGAAGGCAGGAGGGAAAGAAAACAAAAGGAAAGTCTGAGCTCAGCAGAACCACGGGCGGACAAAATGCAAGCACAGGGGAAGCATTAACAGGGATTTAAGGACCAGAGGGACAAGCTGTGGGACAAGCATTTTAGGCTGTTTTTGAGGACAGAGATGAAATGATTGCCAGGGCAAGCAAGTTTCCGGTGTCTGGAGTTGACCAGCACAGATTAAACCCTAGCTGGGTGAACACCAATGAGCTTGAAATCAGATGGCTTCAGCTCCTAATTCTGCTCCCTACTCATGTAGAGACTAGACCTGAGAGAGGGAAAGGCATGGGAATGATGTTCACAGCAGAACGAGGGCTCAGAGCAGAGATCCACCACACAGAGACAGTACTTTCTCTTCAAAAGGCTCCAGAGGCAGTGTCCAGGGAACGTGCCTCGCTGCCAGACCTGGGCATGGAGCTCATGGGAGAGCACACACAACCCCAAGGCAGCACAGTCACACTGCAAGAATTCAGTATTGAAAAAGCAGCACTCCTGTTGGTTGGGTCAGATCAATATTACAAAGGTCTTTTTTTGCAACTTTTTTCCTCAAAGAGCTCAGTTTTCTGCGATTCCCTCTTTGTTGAATCGAAATGTTGTACAAGACCCTGGCAGAAAATTATCATGTGATGATTAGGGATATCAGCCATTGCTGTCATTCCACCTGGAAACTGCAGGAGCAGCCAAAGATACACCATGCAGGAGAGCACAGAACAGGCACATCCACAAGCAAAATTCCTCTCTGGGAAGCTCACTTGGAATAAAATACCATGTTCCACAGTCAGCACTGGAAAGAGCTGAACAGTTGAGAGAACTCACACAGCCACAGAGCTTTATCTTCAATTTATTGTGCAACAAGCATCAATAACTTTGTCCCCAAGTTCCTCTAAACACATTTTATAGACACAAAATCGAATGATGTTTCATAAACATGGCTGTTGTTATTTAAAAGATTGATGTCTCCCGCCCTCCCCACCGAAGGACTGGATTAATTTGACTGAATTAAAAACAGGCAGGTGAAACAGCAGAGCATCACACTAAGCTCTTCAAGCAGGTGCTGCTGCTCAGCCTCATTTTGTTTGGAGCACCATCCCTAACTGCACAGTCTGACTCAGCCTTGGACCCTGCGGCAGCGTCACCACACAAGCACAACAGTTAAGAACAGACACAGGCGGGGTTTGAGGACGATGTGCTTCCACTATCCTGCGTACAGCTGTGAGGTACTCAGTGCTGCTGACGCTCACGTTACCAGGCAGCACCTCACCAGGAAGCTTCCAGGCTCGTCATTTCGCAGCCCACAGGAATATCAGCCTCAGATCACCACTGGTTTCCCCAAGAACAGAGACACTGCACGTCCCTTTGTCAGCTCAGCTTTCTCAGTGTTGTTAAAATTGCGATGTTTCCATGCAAAGGGCAGCCTCCTCCCACCCACCCCATCTCAAAGGGAACCTGCTCCACTCAACACACGAGTCGAGAAAGAATTCCCAAATGGGAGCAAAACCAACCACGTACCTCAGGACACCTGCAAGGTCCACACACCCTCCCACCCAGAGAGTAAGGAAGCAAAGGCATCTCCTCCAGCAGGGGGAGAAAAGCAGGGTGTGCTAACACATGCTAGAGGAAACTCAAGCTCCTAAACACAGGCCTGCAGTTTGTTCCCTAAAGCACTACAGGATTCTGGGCAGACAGAAAGGACAGGTTCCTATGTGCCTTTAGAAAGTGCCATTTATCTGAGATGCTCGTGTTCCAGGTGGTTCCTTCACCCAGAGTGGCTCCTCCAGGCCAGCAACAGAAATATTGCTGCCCAGAGGTCTTCAAACTCCAGGTTGGCCAAAAAGCACATCTTCATTTTGGTTTCTACCCGGCTTTTATCCACCAGCCTGTTGGTGAGCAGGGTGGCAGCAGACTGGCAGAGGAGCCAGGCGATCATCTGGTCGGGTTTCAGGGTCCTGGATGCTACAACACTGTCACCCCAGAGGCTCAGGTGAAGCACGTTTGCAGCAACTCTCGCAGACAACCTCTGCAAGAGGAGGGAGAGGGAAGGTTAGCTGATCCCTCTGCACTGACAAAACTCCCTGTCAACTAAAAGCTCTTTGTGATTATTTGTGTCAGGCTGGTGAGTGAAACCCCCAATTTGAGGTCCAGTCCTGACACAAACATCTGCTGAAATCCCTGAAATGATTCAGCACCACTGCTCCTCGGCGAAGGCTTTTTGTTTGGATTTGACCCCTGCAGTGAGATCTGGATCAACTCCTGCACCCACAGCCCTCCAAGGCAAAACAATCCACAAATGACACTCCCAAAGGGAATATCTCGAGGACAACGGTGTCTTACCTTGTTGGGGTCCCTCCGAAGCAGCATCTTTATCACCTGCTTCACCTCGAGGGGCACGTGATCAGGCAGGAGTGGCAGCTGGTCCTCCTGGTAACTTCTGCTTTCCAGGGTCGAGTCCCCGTGGCCATAGAAAGGGTTGGCCAGGCCCAAGATTTCGTAAGCGATCGCTCCAACAGCCCAAGCGTCGGCTTTACTGTAGTTGATCACTGTGCCAGGACCAGGTGACGCTGTGATCACCTGCCACAGAGAGGGGGATGCTCAAATAAACAGCCCAAGTGTGGCCTCTGTGCTAAAATTTGATTTTCAACGGTCAAATCAGCATTTTCCCTGTAATCAGCTGAAAGACTGAAACCAAAGGTGGGTTCCATTGAGATCTCCAGTGTACATATTCCCTGTTGGCATGGAATAAGCCTCTGGCACTGCTCAGCCCACTGGGATGCTGGGAGGAGTTTGGACGTTGCACCTAAGCTTTAGTTGTTGCCACTGACTGGCACTCTCCGAGTCCCAAGGGCTATTTCCTGCTGGAATTACGGAGACAGGAGACATGGAGATGAACAACCGACAACACGGCAAGCTGCTCCAGGTCCAGTAGGCAGTTAAGGGTGTCTTGGCTTTTATTAGGGTTATCATCAGAGAAATAAAAAGGAACTGTAAATAATTTCACAACTGCCTTGAACTTCAGCCAAAAACCACTGTTGCAACACAAGGACTGCTGCACATAATTCTTTACAGTTACACAGGAAGGGGCCTGAATTAAAACTGAAGAGTAAATTTTGGGGGGGAAAGACACCAACTGATTACATTTCACCTGTTAGAGCTCAAGGTGTCTGTTGGACAGTGCTCAGCTCAGGTTTTACCAAGCCTAACTTAAGTTAGGACACGGACCTTCTATGCTGCCAAAACTTTTAGTCCCGACAGCAGGACAAGCAGAAAACCAGCACCACAAACCACCACTTCAGAGGGACTCACCTCTGGTGCCATAAGGCAGCCGTTGCCACCCCGATCCACGTAGGAGCTGGTGAAAGGCAGCCTCAGGCCAACTTTTTCATCTGCCAGACAGCAGCCGAAGTCGGTGATGACCAGCCAGGGGCAGCCAGCTGTGAACAACACAGGGCTGGCAGAGTTAGGGGTCAGCTTGGGAGGACGTGGCTGCAGTTAACGCCACATCACATCAACACCCAGCTTGGTGTCCTTTGCAAGCTGGCTGAGGGTGCACTCCCATCCCCTCATCCACATGGTTGATTCAGTAGAGCAACCCGGTCCAATGGGAGGTGTACCTGCCCATGAGATGAGCTTTAAGGCCCCATCCAACCCAGGCCATTCTATGATTCCAAATCCTGAGCCCTGGGGAAGAGGGAATCCTCCATATCATCTCTCAGGGAAGGCAGGGTGGATTCCAGTACTCTCTGTCTCTCCCTGATACTCTTCAACCTAATTCTTCCACTCCTAATTACACAGACCTGCCTGCTATTGCTTCCTGCCCATTTAAATCTCAATCACACTGAAAACGAGCTCTGTTTGAGGTTGACAGAACAAGCCCAAGAAAAAGCTGCTTTTGGCCGTAACAGTCGATTCCCCTGGCTCCCAATCCATGTTTCATCATCCCAGGGTGCAGCAGAATTAACCTGGTTGTGAGGTAAGATTTTAAGAGGCTCTCTGTGCAGTTTGGCTTGAGAGAGATGACAGAGCCAATAGCCTGAAGCAAAGGCACTTGCAGCATCCCAAATGTGGCGTTATCAGATGCTGCAGCAAATGTTGGCTGTGCTCATGCAATGCATCGCCTCAGCAATGCTCTGTGTCCATGTTAATGATCCAAAACCTCATGCACAGACAGGATCCATGACTTCCCCACTGCTGCAGTGATACCAAACACTAAACTAAAAAATAAACCTGAGATTCAAAGGGTTTGATGCTTTTTTCCCCTCCCACATGTAGCTGGGTGAGAATACCCACATGACTGTATCCCTTCTGCGAATAAACTGGCATTTACCCTCAGGGATCTACGTACCAGAATCGAATTCAACCAGGATGTTGTCAGACTTGAGGTCTCTGTGTGCTATCCCATGTCGAACAAGATGGTCCACGCCTTCCAAGAGCTGCAAAATCATCATTGTGGAGAGGCGAACATCCGGAGTGTTCTCCCGCAGGTACTGGCGCAGCGTGCAAGGGTAACTAGGCAGAACAAGGAAAAAACTGGGAATTAACATCCTGGAAGCTTATCACTGGCAGTTCAACCTCAGTGCTGGCTCGTCTCATTACTGATTCTACTCCATCTCTAGCGGCGTGCTCAGACTAAGGGTGAAGTTCAGGCTTAAGGAGGGCAGGCGAATGGGGACAAACTCCACATTTCTTACTTTAATTTGGGGTAATTATTAAAAAGAACGGTTTGTGTTCATTGTGGA